TTCTTGTATAGATCCCAGTATACATACTCAAGAGTTTCTCTACAGACTATACATAGGAGTAGAATTTTACTAGACAGTGCATTTTTCCCCCATAGTAGTTACACCAGCACACAATGAGTCTCTATTTCTATATTGTCACCCACACCCAATGTTCTTAAACTTTCTAATTTTTGCCAATTGGTGGATTTTAGGTGGGATCTCATTGTGATATTAAGCTGCATCTCATTAATTTCTCATGAGAATCTTTTCAAATGCTCATGGGCCATTTGTGTTTTCTCTTTTGTGAGAAACTTAATTCTGTCCTTATTAATTCATGGGAATTACTCCTATATTCTGCAAACAGATCATTCTGTCATTTTTCTATATGTTGCAAATCTTTCTCACTTGTATATATATTCTAAACTCCACAGTACATTGCTATTACTTTTGCTGTAAACATTCAGTTGTCTTAACATATAAAAAATGAGAAAAAATGTATTTTATATTCACCATTCTTGACAGACCTCATTCCTTTGTACAGATCCAGATTTTATTTTGATTTCATTTTCCTTTGGTCTGAAGAATTTCCTTTAACATATTTGATAGTTTTAGATCTACCGATAATGAATTCTCTCAACATTTATTTGTCTGTTAACAGGCCATTTAATCTTGCTTTTTGAAACGTATCTTCACCAGATGTAGAATTCTGTGTTGATAGTTCTTTCTTTCAGGACTTTACAGGTGCAGCTGCACTGTTTACTGGCTTATACAGTGTCTGACAAGAAGTCTGCTTATTTTCGTACCTCTATTTGTAACGACTTTTTTTTTTCCTTTTAGCACTTTAGAGAAGTGTCGCTGCCTTATGGAATTTGTGGTTTCTGCTGATAAATCTGTGATCATTTACATTGTTTTTCTGCCATATGTCATTTTCTCTAGATTCATTTAAGGTTTTCTGCTTCTCACCGATTATCGGCATTTGATTATGAGATGCCTTGTTTGGGTTTTCCTTGTTTCTTCTGCCTGGAGGTAATTAGATTATTTGATCTGTGGCATTCTAGTTTTCAACACATTTGAAAAATGTTGTCTTTATTGCTTGAAACATTTTTCTGTTCTCTTTTCTCCCGTTCTTCAGGGACTGTAATTCTATGTACGTTAGACCTGTTGATACCGTCCCACAGCTCAGTGAGATTCAACTTATTAGTTTTGGTTCTCTCTCTCTTGCTCTGCTTCATTTAGGATGATTCCTACTGCTGTCACTTCAAGTTTCCTGAGATTTTCTTCTGCAGGATCTAATCACCCATTAATCCCACCCATGATTTTCTTTTTTTGTTTATTTCAAATACTCTAGTTTTCATCTCTTTGAAGCCTAGTTGAGCATTTTTATATCTTCTTTTTCTCTTATCATGTTCATGTTTCCTCCACCTTGTTGAATGTGCAAGCATATTGAAAATTGTTGTTTTAAATGGCCTGGTATGTATGTTAATCCCCTCATCTCCATTACTTAATGTGTTTGTGTCCATAATTAATATATTTCTGCTAGTTATTGATCATATTTTCCTACTTGTTTTCATGATTGGTAACTTTTGATTGGATGACAGATGTTATGAATTTTACATTACTGTCTGCTGGATTTTGTTGTTTTCCTTTAAGGAGTATGTTTCTGGCTTGCAGTTAAGATACTGGAAATTGGCTGGGTCCTTTCTAGTCTTGCTTTTAAGCTTTGTTAGGGCATGTCTAGAGCAACCTTTAGTGTAGGGCTGATTTAGCCCCATGCCTAAGGCAATACCCTTCAGAGGACTCTACCCAAGGCCCTGTATACTACAAGACCATTCTACTCTAACTGGTAAAAACTAGAAATGTTCCCAGTCTTATGTGAGCTCTGGCGGTTGTCTAGCTTGCTGCTTTGTAGAGGTTCTTTCCCAGGTCTTGATTATTTTCCTTTCATGGTTGTGTACCTCAGTACTCAGCCCAAGACTTAAGGGGATCCCTCTATAGATTAGAGAGTTTGCTCTCTCTCACTCCTCGTTTCTCTCTGTGTATTTCCTTCCTTTGGTACTCTGTCCCATGAATTCTAACTTCCTTGGCTTTCCCAAGCTCTGCTGTCTGTGTCTCCCCAGCTGAGTGAAACCTGCGTGCTTTATACATTCCACATTGTTCCATGCTGTGGCCTGCAGACTACTTCCAGGCAATAAGCCCCCCACTCTTTTGCCCTTCTCTGAGATAATGGTCCTGTGATTTTTCTTGTCCAAGGTCTGAAAATTATTCTTTCACATCTTTTGTTAGGATTTCTAGTTGTTTAAGAGAAAGGGACTTACCTGGTTCCTATGACTCCTTTATGGCTGGAAGCAGAAGTCTATTCTTATTTTCTGACAATTGAAACTCCTGCATAAAAATTGTAGTGAGTGGGCAGATGCTCCGTGCAGAGAATGACCAGAGTTTCCTTCTTCAGCTGCAGTTGGCCAGAACCTGAGACTTGCTCCTGATCAGCCGCTCAGAGCCATGCCCCCAACTTGACTGGCACATTCTATGCTCAAGCTGCCCCAAAGGCACCACCACTCCCCTATCATGCAGCCACCACCTCTTCCCAGTTACCTGCCATGATGACCGCATCCTCCCTGCAGGGGCCCCACAACCACTGCCAGGCCTGCAGAACCGAAAAGCTGGACGAATTTGCTTCAGGATATCAGTAAAGCTGCCCCTAATGATGGCAATGTGGGCTGACTGCAATGGAATGTGTGCAACACACCTAGATCGTGTGTGAGTCCGTTACTGCTACAACTGTAAAGCGATCCACTGATGAAAAGGACCCCCATTTGTTTGACTTTCTTGCGACACATGATCTAAATAAGCAGGTAAAATCCATTTAAAAAATGGATGATTGTGTAATAAACTTAGGCAAGACAGGGGTTCCCAAATCTGGCATCACACCCTCTGTCTTTGACAAGCACACCCTGGGAGACAGTGGTACTGAGCGTGAATGGAGCCTCCGGCAGCCTTCTCATCACCAGTGGGAACAACTCCCCATGGTGAATAACACCGTGCACTTAACACGTGTCGCCTGCGCACTTTCTGGAAGCCTCCCCAAAACAGGCACCTCTGCTTTCTTCGTACATTTGCACCATTCCATTCAATAAAGTACTTTGGTATTAAAAAATAAAAGGTACTAACTTATCTATGAAAAAAATGTTAAATTAGTAGCAAAGGTTAAAAATTTGTATATAGTAGTTGGTTATTGGCAGAGAAAAATTTCATCTGTGCATCCCGATTTCTAACCCGACCTGTTTTGTTTTGTTTTTTTTTTTCAATAAACTAAGTAAAATTATTTCAGCATTTCTCTTTGAGGTCAATTTCAAGGACTAGGTTTTTTTCTCTTTAGTATTTTAAATATATAAAAGTATAAGCTAGTTTTGGAAGTTTTAGACTTCTGTTAAATACAAATTATTTTGTATCAAGTACATTTTCTTTGTGTTCCTTATTAGATTCTTCCAGGTTTTATTTCCTTATCGTGAATGTTTAACTTACTAAATTCACTCACTCCATGATAATTTGCTTTCTAAGAATTTATTAGATAGGCAAGAAGCCTTTGAGCCTAATAATAAGTCATTCTTGGAAACAGGAAGCAAACCTGTGCCAAAATTAAACAGTCCCAAACACCAAAGGTTCAAGGTTGGTTTGAAACAGAAACCACAAATTTTGATTGGATCTAAACTTGGCAGTATAAGACTCACATGGTTTGTTTCTAGTATTATATAAAGGAGATATATACACAGTCTAACAAAGGGAGACAGGAAAACCAGTTTAAACTAGCAGAACATTCAGGAAAGGATTAAGAACTCAGATCTGGTGTAGTGAACATGGATCTGGAGCCCCTGAATCTCACAGTCTGTCTCTAACACAACTAGAGTAAGTGCACAGAAGGATAAATGCTTTTGGAGAAGTCAGCTATCTTTTCTGAGGTGAATGAATGGCAGATAGCACTATGCCAGGAACACATTCCTCAGAGAGGAAGTCTAAAACTAAGAAGTGAGAATTCAAAAGATAGTTTAATCATGAAAAAATTGCTTTCAGAATTCCCATTTTCTTAATTTATATGATATGGTTAACTGGGCCAACATCCCCTCACCTGGGTATCAGGAGTCTAGAAAAAGCAAAAAGGTGTTTGTGAAGTGTTTTCAAGTCACTAAAAAGACAGTGGAAATATACGTTAAAATACTTTACTGTCAAAGTGCAGCTATGAAAGAAACTATGATGTAGTTGGAAACTGGTTTTTCATTGTCAGTGGATCTCACGGAATATTGCTGTTGAATTTGCTAGCACTTCACTGAGTTTCTTGAAGGGCCTCACAGATTCAAAAATACAGACCGTAACATTTGTTAAACCTTTTTTTTTTTTTTTTGGTACTGTGAAACGCAATGAAAAAAAGTATAAAACATAAACACAATGAATGATTATAAGACAAAATATCCTAGAACTATCATATAGAGGTCAAGAAATAGAACAATGTCAGCAACCCACAAGCCCTCCCCAAGGCCTCTACCATACCGAGTTTTTCATTAAAATAATGCCACAGTGTTTTTGGAGGATAAAAACACTGTAAATCGTGTCTTCAAAAATTAATATCCCATGTAAATGGCATATTCCAGACACGTTTGAACAGTCCTGGTAAATTCAAACCAACAAGCCAAGATTTATATTTAGTTTGAGTGAAACATTTCAAGACAGGAGTTAGAGATAATAAATACAGTCAGCATCCACCAGAAAGCTCAGCTTTGCCCTAGTGGTGCCTTGCCTCCCGGTATTTACCCTGTTCGCATCTGACACTCCCCTGTGGGCTTTTCTCTGTGGTCTGAAAAGCTAGTTCCCTGAAAGAGAAAACAGGCACATATTTAAGATCTACAGGCCCAATCTGTGTAGGAGTGGATTACTGTTGGCCTGCTCCGGCATTCGTGTTTTAGTATAAAGGAAGAACTTGTCTTCCTCACACACAATTTACTTTGTGTTTTCACTTCTGTCTTTCCCAGGACCCAAGGCTTCTTCTCAATTGAAAACTGTTTCTGGCAGCATGTATATGGTAAGTCTTGCGTAGCTAGAGATTCTTCAGAAATGGATTCCAAGACAGTTTCTCTTCAAAAGGGGCTATGTCCCTACTCTCTGTGATGCCTCCTCCCCCCCCCCCTCACCAATCTTTGTTCGGGTGTTTTGAGATGAGCGTGGGTTTGTGAGATTTTGCGTGCAGGTTTTGTTAGACTTTTGATGGGAACAATGCCACGGCTGGTCGCAGTTGCCAGGTGAGTAAACTCAATGTCTCTCTGTATAGCTTTATCAAGGGAAGCAGAAAGAGTGGATGGGGTTCTACTTGTGTAGAACCAGCAGCTTCTGAGCGGCTCAGGTCCTGGAACTGCTTCTTGTCCCAGCGCAATGGGTATTAGAAGCTTCTTGACTAGGAGAGCATTGACTCGTACACCAGATTCGTGTGTCTTTACTCTGTTATCTGATCAACTGCTGCTCAGCTTCCTTGTCCAGGTGTTTTTCTCACCACCTTGCCTGGCCCTCTGGCTCCCCGCGGGATTGCATCCTGCCCATCTGATGTCTGCCACTTGCCTGCACTTGCCATCTGTGAGGCAGTCTGACTCCAGTGTGGGTCCTGGAGCAAGGGGTTGCCGCACCGCCTACTGTTAACCTCCGGCACGATGTGTCCTATTTCTAATCAAACTGCTGGCTTAGGATACCTAGCCTTTGCCTTTGGTAGAAGTCCCTAGCCAGCTTCTGAACTCGCCCCCTCTCCCAAACCCTCAGCCTCGCCTCACTTTTCTGAGGACTCACGCCTGCTTTGTCCTCTGACACATTCTGCTCTGGGCAACAGACAGACATCAGCACTGGTCCTTGTTTAATGCACTCTGCATTGCTATTGCCTATTCAATTATTCGTTTCTCCAACCATACTATAAGGGGTGATCCAAGACAGGTGCTATTTCTGCATCCCCAGAATCTAGAACTGTGCCTAGAATTTAACAGGCATGTCAGCACATTTATTGACAAAAGCTTTTAACCTGGACCAAGATGACTATAAAGTGTTATAGAATCTAATTCTAGCTCTCTCACTGTCTAATACTAAAATCTTAGGCAAGTGAATTGATATTTTTGGCTTGCAGTGTCTTCATTTGCAAAACAAGGCTGAGTGGATGATCATTGGGATGGTTTCTAAGATTGCTTTCAGCTTCAGAGTTCCTCAACTCTGCTTAATGCTCAGAACCTTGATTAGGACATCTTCAAAATGATAGGGCTCAATTTTCACCCTGACAGTGATATCTGGATTGTTCAAAACTGATTTTCAGGGAAAAGCAATTTTTAACCCAAATGATCCGTGTTTTCCTTTCTCATGCCCATTATAATGCTAAGCAGATTGGGCCTTCAATTGTAGGACAAATGTAAGAGATAAATCGCCACCTAGTGGACACATCCCTAGACAGTGGCCTCCCCTCCAGAACAAGGGGGAGCTTTGTTCTTTGGAGCCCATAGGTCCTTACCCATAGTTTCTCCTTCCTCCCCCTGACACACATCTCAACCTTGTCATTGCCTCTGCCTCTAAAGAAATCACAGAAATATTCATTTTGGCAAGAGAAGACATATTTATTTTGACCACGTTTGATTTTATTTTTACCTATTTGTGTTTCACATTTACAGTGTGGTAGGCATTTTAAGGAAAAAAAGGGTAAGGTCCAGCAAACTTAGACTGGGTCTTTTTAGTCTCTTATCAATCTGGTTTGAAAACAATCCTTGAGCATTCAGAGACGCCTTGGCTAGACAGACAGAAAAGGGATAGTAGAGTTCACATGTCTCCCAAGCAGAACTGTCTAGAGAGCCCAGCCTTTCATCCAGTTCCTCACCAAGTGTTCAGAGTTTTACAGTTTTCCTTGTTTAAAGGAAAACCATTTAGAGGCTACTCTAAGGCTTTGGATTAGTAGTTATTTCAGTGTGAAGTGGAGTCTTCGCCTGGATAATGTTTTCACTGAGCTTAAGGGAACCTATGTGACCTCTACTTAAAATGAACAAAAGGATATGATTATGCTAGGTTTTCTTTCTCCACCTTAGAAAAGGTGTCCATAAGTTCTGTCAGTGGAGGTTCAAAGAGGCTTAGAGAAGGTATTCTTGGTTAATTAATGAAACGTCAAGAGGATTGCTACAAATCTTCAGCCCAGCTTCTGATGCCTCTATGGTACTTTATTATTTTAACGCAAGACCTTATTCATTTAATCAGCACTAATGATTCCTTCCAGCAACCCCAGATTGGCCAGCTATTCATACTGTAATTGCAGCACTGAGGCTCTATATTTCTCTAGCCTTCTCCACAAGCATATATTTTTCCTTGTTCATTAGTATTTCTCTGCTATTAAGTGCCACTAGCTAGCTCATGACATTCCGATATTTTAATTTCTGTTTCCTACTCCACCAACCCAGTGCAAAATTTCTTCACTTCTCTACAAACTTTTGTTTAATTTCTCTTTCTCTGACATCCCTTACTATGTCTCAAAAAACTTTTGGAATGCTCTGAACCTAAAAATAACTCTTCTATTGATCCTAATATCTATTCAAACAAGTTCTCTCCGACCCTCCCTCCTTCCTTCTTTCCTCCCTTTCTTCCAAGAAAGCCGTTCAGAACAGTTCCAACTAAGGGATTAATACACTCTCCCTGAGTTCTATAGACATATCTCCCAGTGGCCATTCTGTAGAGCCTCAGTCCTGACTAAGTCACTCAAAGGATGCCGTCAAGATTCCTAAGCCATATTCTTGTATTCCTGCTCTCAAACAGGCTTTATAGGCTTGCTCTTCTTACCTGTAACTTCTGGAAGCCGATACGTACATTAATCCAAACAGCCAAAGAGAAGGACTCAGTGAGGGGGAAAAAATGAAGAAATTATATGCCTAGAGCTAACCTTGGTCATGCATCCCCCTACCCCTGAAGGAAATACACTCTCAGACAAAAACTGCCCTTGTTCCTCCCATATATTCATATCCTTAGCACAATCTCTACAGAAACTGCAGACAAAGTAATTTGAAATGAATGTGCTCATCCATAAGCATGCAATAAATATCTATCTATATACATTAGACTGTCTTCAGTGTTGAGTAGAAAACCGAAATAAATATAAGGCACAGTTCTTGGATTCTCAGAGCTTACATTGTTATTTTGGCAAAACTTATATTTAAATATTTACAGAAAACAGATAAGAGGCATGCCATAAATCGTATCTAATTTTCATATAGAAATAATGGCAGAATTAAAGCTTGTGTTGTTGACCAAGGACTTGATGCTAAACCCTTTATAGAATTAATCATGAGCATCACATTGAATTAAGTAGAAGTAGTACTTCTGTATGGTATAAATGTTTCTGAAAGGTGATCAAGAGCTCAAGCAGTGAAACATAGTATAGTCAGTCAAAATGGTGGAGTAACAACAACTAAAATATATGTCCATTATCTTAACCCCTGGAACCTGTGAATGTGACTGTATTTAGAAAAAAGGGTCTTTGCACATGTAATTAAGTTAAGGATTTGAAAATGAGATTATCCTGGTTTACCCTGATAATCCTATGACAAGTACCCTTATAAGAGACAGAAGAGGAGACACAGACACAGAGGAAAAGGTCCTATGAAGACAAAAGCAGGTATTTTAACTTTGCAGCCACAAACCCAGGAACCCCCGAACCACAAGAAGTTGGGAAAGGCAAGGAATGTTCACCCCTAGTGCTTTCAGAGGGAGAGTGGCCCTGCCAACATCTTGACTTCTAGGTTTAGACTTCTAGTCCATAACTGTGAGAAAATAAATTTCTGTTGTTTTAAACCACTAAGTTTTACTAATTTGCTATGGCAGCCACGAGATATTAATACACATGGTAATAAATCACATAAAAACTTTTTTGATGGTCTCTTTTTCCTTACCATAATTTCCTGCCTTTCCTTTACTGTAATGAATCAGAAATTAAAGGCATACCCATATAGAATTAATGAAATTCAGTAGAGTTTCTTTTCTTTTCTTTTTTTTTTTTTTAAGATTTTATCTATTTATTTGAGAGAGAGGGAGGGAGAGCACAAGCAGGGCCAGGGGCAGAGGGAGAACAGACTCCTTACTGAGCGGGGAGCCAGACATGGGGCTCGATCCCAGGACACCTGAGCTGAAGGCAGATGCCTAACCAACTGAGCCATCCAGGCACCCCAAGTAGAGTTTCTACAGGGAGTGGAATAGCAGCTTTGAAGAGATGTCTGGGGATGAAAATAAGATTTAGAGAAGCTTATCCATGTATCTGCTTTGCGCTCACCTTTTCATGTATTCAAAGTTCTGGGTAACACATAAAGGAATTAAGGAATAAGCTTTTGTTCATCTGTTATCTCCAAACCAAAGTCTGTCTGGCTTCTTGAGGCAAACCCAATTAAAAACTTGTATGTTTTTCTATGTAACACATTTGAAGAAACAAAATCATAAATCTTTAGAATATCCAAACCAACCCTTCTGCACCTTGATCTATTACAGGTTATTTCATCATTTGGGAATCCTTAAAGCTCTGCTTGGATTTTATGACCAAATCATTGTTGAAATTTGATCCTGAATATGCATAATTAAGAGTGTTTGTATCTTAGACATAAGACTGACTCTTTACCAGATAGTAATTGTAATTGTTAGTCATCTTAGAGGAAAACTAAGATATGACTTTGAATTAAGGAGATTGATTCCTAAACAATGCCAGGTACACAGCAGGCAGTCCATGAAGATTTGTTTCATGAATAAATTTATTCAGCTAAAAAAGAGTTTGACTTCAGGTAGCCCTCTAATTTTTAGTAGTTAAAATAAACCCATTCAAGCTGACCATATCTATAGAAAGCCCAAGACAGCCATAAAATGAAGCCCATCGGATTTCTTTATGCAGAAGAAACAGCTGCAAATCCCTCAAGAAGCTGCAAGAGCGATGCTACCTGGAGTCACGTAAGAGAGAGTGTTGGGACTGGGGTACACTGGAGGGCACACACTCTGTCTTAAGGGGGCGGCCACTACTCAGCTGGAGCAAATTGTCGCCAC